GTTTTCTTCCATGATTCCCATCCATCGTCTACAATTAATGGCCAAAATAAAACGTACACAGGTTCTACAGAAGGTCCTTTAAACGTCGATGGTACAATCATAGGTCGTCTTTTAAGCTAGCAAATCTTAGGTACTCTACCAAACTAGATAACCATGTGTGGAATTTAAAAGAAAAAAACAACAGACATCATTTGGTGGAAAATTTATAAAAAGCAAAACAGCACCACAATCAAAACTATGTTTTCAACCTCTGCCAAAAGGAAAAATATCGACTGTGACATTTCCAGATCAAAAAAATAAAAACTTTTAAACCAGAAATCCGAAGTCTTAATTCTTTGCGTACATGTAAGATATTTTTTCTTATGTTCCTAGGAGACAGGATAAAAAGATGTAATTTAAACACCCCACCACCACCCACGGATACATTTAAAATACACTTACATTATTATATTTTGTTTGTTTTAAAATTATATCAGTTTTTTCTTCACACATGTCCGCATGACACTTAAGAAATATTGTGAGGGAAGTAATTGTTCTTCTTCTTCTTCTTCTTCTTCATCTTTTACTTCTTCTTCTTCTTCTTCTTGTTTCCTGGTCTAATTCAACTCTTACTATTGACCTATTTATTTATTACTAGCATCATGGCCCGGTGTTGCCCGTGCTTGATTCAAAAATCGTACGACTCCTACAACAATCGCTATCACTTGACTTCAAATATTTTTGCCCTTTTTAGCCTTTAAAGGAGTGCCCTTTGCCGTGCTGATGTTGCTACATGCCTTACTTCTTGCCTATCTCACACTGCGAAGTTTTTCTAAGCTCTATACTAAACATTAAATCTGTTACGAAAAAAGAACTAAAAAAATGAATACAAAACGATCAGCTTTAAAAAAGGAATCGTAACTGGAAAAACCGAATGAAAAAAGAATGTTAACAACAAATACCTTTTCACACCCAACCCAATTCTGCGGAATCAGAATCAACGTTGAGTTTAAGTAAGCGAATCAACCAATTGGTGTAAAGTGCCATGCAAATTTAAATTTTTCCCACTTGTGACGAATGCAGCTATCGTTTTTTTTTGTTTTGTTTTTTTTTTTTTTTGCATGCTAGCATGCTATTTAACATTCGTGTCAGTAAGCTGTTGGCTCTCACGCTGGCCAACAGAATCTTCCTTCCTATTCGTGGCAACCAGCTATAGGCTCTCACTCTGGCCAGTAGAAAATGGCCGCAAACTACACGAAAAACTGCCGTAGACGCATGAAAAATTCGATTATTTCCACTATCGATGGGAGTTGGGAAATGCAAAGTCGGTCTTGGCCTTCCCGCTACCTTGGAGCATGTGCAAATAAATTGTGTTGCAAATCCGTCAAAAATTGCGGCCGTGCATTCGTTACACACACACAAACCTATATATATATATATATATATATATATATATAGTTCTGTCCGATGTTTTCCTTGTTCATCAGCACTATGTTTAATCGGTAACCATGATCGATTTGACAGGAAGTTTAGCCGGTCGCCGAGGCGATGTGGAATTGCAGCGTTGTAGGCACGTGCCTAAAAACCATACGGCGTTTTAAGTAAAAATCTGTTAGAGAAAATGAGTAGACGAAATTTTCTCTCAATGGCTGTGTTAGAGTGAAGTTGTGGCCGAACGTTTGAACGTAATGGTGTTGTTCAAACAGCTGATAATGACACATAATGCAACAAAATTCTGCACAACATAGGCTGCTGTATAGACAAAAGCTATGCCCTTTGCGTTTAGAACAAACAGATATTCCTAAGCAGGTGTCTCTGTCAGGGTTTGACGAGAAATATCATTGTTAACATTATTTTATTCAATAAATCAACAATATCATTGTTATTTTGTTTATAAATAGATTTTCAAAGTGTTGTAATTTTATCTCATACTCATCGCCTAAATAATATTAGGTTACCGAATACAATAATCACACAAATGTTTGTAATGAATGATAATACATGGGACAATAAGAAAAAATAATCAATTACTAGACGTGAGTCAAGTGAATTCCAAAATCAATCTCCAACATCAGGATATCTAAGAATCGCCCCAGATGGTCAGATATGGCCCAAGGCCGAATTTAATGTGAGGTATGCGAGCTCGTAGGCTTGGCCAAAAATTCCCCATTGACCCTGTCTAAAAGAGGATTGCGTAGCTGCTTCTGGAAACGAGACTCTGCTTTTTGACAAACCCTCGTCTGGGGATCCTCTCGGCCCAGAGGCAAAGAGTTTAAGCCACACAGCTGGAAACGAATCTCCCACTGCATATCTACCAAACGCCCCATGCGGTCAGATGTGGCAAAAGGCCGAATTTAATGTGCCTGTTGGCTCTACCAAAAATTCCCCGTAGACCCTCTATAAAGCGGGGTCAGGTAGCTGTTATCCCTGCATGAAGAGGATCGGGTCTGTCTACCTACCGGGACGAGACTCTGCCTTTCGGAGATAGCTTGACCGGCACAGCTGAAGACGAATTTCACAGACCAACATACAGTATTTACTACTGTTTTTATGTGAATGAGGGTATGCACCTTATTTTCTGTAGGTAGGCTCCAACACAAAGTAAAACACGCATATATATTGCTTGTATTTATATAATAGAAAAGAATGTGGGAAGCCATCTTATTGTGGTGGCGAGTAACTGGAATTTCAAGTCAGCTTAAATTTGATTACAATACATAAACTTTGGATTTTGTCGAGAACTCCGATATATATATATATATATATATATATATATATATATATATATATATATATATATATATATATATATTGAATAAAAGACAGACCACGTTAAGATTCCATGTAGTAAGCTATTTCATTATAACCCCTTTAACAGGGTTCTGAAATCAGCTTTTGGAAGTAAAATCTGATGATCCAGAACCCTGTTAAAGGGGTTATGGTGAAATAGCTTATTACATGGAATCTTAACGTGGTCTGTCTTTTATTCAAACATATCTGCTCTGAATTTCACATTGAGCTCTCTGGATATCATCCTCCTCAGTTCTACCCATACGGATTACCTAAATTTGCATAATCTCTCTCTCTCTCTCTCTCTCTCTCTCTCTCTATATATATATATATATATATATATATATATATATATATATATATATATATCAGGCGTAACATACATGACACAAATATTCAGTGCACGGGGGAATGATAGATTTTTAAATATGCGAAATTTATTCTGATGAGAAAAATCATCTGGAACAGTGAAATATTTTCCCTAGCTCTTCTGCTAGAAATTGATTCAATATAATCGATCCATTCAGTATGAGTGGAAAGCGTAAAACAAAGAAGAGACAGTGAGCTGCCCTTCTAGAGGTTAGCATCAGCCATGTTGAGAGAAGGCAGAAAACGTTCTTTATAGTGTTTAAATGATAGCAGATTATTTTATATCCGTTAAAATTTTAAAGTTATACCCTGGCCCAATTAGACACTTGCTGTAACCTAGGGAAGGTTACTGAATAGAATAATCGCGCTAAGATTGGTAATGAACGATAATACTTAGGACAAGAACAACACATACCAGATTCGCCAGCTGTGCTTAGAAGTAGTCAACTGGGAGAACTGAGACAAGTGAATCTTCAACTGCAGACCAACATACAGTATTTACTACAGTATTTATGTGAATGGGGACATACCCTTTATTTTTCGTAGTTATGCTACAGCAACACTGACTGGGGGTAATTTTCTGTAGGATATGCCTGTTTAACTTGGATCCATCGAACCTACTACTAAAACCGGGGTAAAGAATTGTGTCATCACAATAAACAACTTGCTGCGAACTCACGACATCGGGAATGTCGACAATAAAACTCAAGGAAAGATGATTCTCTGTTTCCCCCACAAAGGTTTTTCTTGACTGAGTCCATCCTTCATATCTATATATCATTCGTACTTGAATTGAATACTGCCATATATGTTCTGGCGTTAGCACTGTTCACCTCAATGTCATAGACAAAATCTAAAGACTTTTAGGAAATGTAATAAGTCCTCATCGAGTATCTCGTCTACAGTCATTTTCTCACAGATGTAACGTGACTTGTCTTTTCTCTAAATATTTTCAGGGCAACTACTTTGACGAGCTACATTTACTGTTGCGTTAACTGCAAGAATTTACACGTGTTACTAGTTTGGCATCCATCCCACCCTTTCGTTTTGAAACAGTTATATGTATCCGTCATTCGTACTACAACAGCTTCTTCTCTGGCACTTCTCGACAGTGGAACACCCTTCCACCTACTTGCTTCCCTGAGAGCTATAATCTTCAAATATTCAAATTTAATGTCATTCGATATCTTCTGAATCCTTGATACTGATCCCTGTCCTTTACTATATCCTTTCTTCAAAGAACACTCTTTACTCTTATTCTTACTCACGGTATCTCCTGTCGAGCTAGTGACAATATCGTCTTGCTTGGGATGAAATCCTTAAAAATAAAGAAAAAGTAGGTCAATAGTAAGAGGTGTATGATGTGGGGTCTCTCATCATTAATATGATCATTTCATTTAAATGTTTTGAGAAAGAATGTTTGGGACTGAGATGCCAACCTACTAGCAAGATATATTCATGCAGATGGGGTGCCAGTGAATGTACCTCGCCGGAGCAGTTGCCATGAAAATACTTGTAGAAAAAGCAGAGGGAAACCACATCACGTCTGTGAGAAAGTGACTGTAGACGAGATGCCAGCTCAGGACTTTTCACAAACCACGATTCGTTAAGAAAGACAGGATTAAGCTAAATGTTCGTTCAGAAGCAACATAGATCTTGAGCTTGAGTAGAAGTGAAGTGCGTCAAACTCTGTCCATTGCCTTCGAGATAAATAAATTTCGAGTCTCACCGCCCTTATGTAAAACCTTGATAGACAAATTCAGTAGTAACCGTTAATACATGAGGGGTAGACCTGAAGGAGTGACTCTCAACATTGTGTGCGGTCATCTTCAGTATGCCGCGAAATATGATAATGATTTTGA